AGCACCAGTCACTACACTCACCAGCAGCACCAGTCACTACACCCACCAGCAGCACCAGTCACTACACCCACCAGCAGCACCAGTCACTACACCCACCACCAGCACCAGTCACCACACCCACCACCAGCACCAGTCACCACACCCACCAGCAGCACCAGTCACTACACCCACCACCAGCACCAGTCACCACACCCACCAGCAGCACCACCAGTCACCACACCCACCAGCAGCACCAGTCACCACACCCACCAGCACAGCACCAGTCACCACACCCCACCACCAGCACCAGTCACCAGTCACCACACCCACCACCAGCAGCACCAGTCACTACACCCACCACCAGCACCAGTCACCACACCCACCAGCAGCACCAGTCACCACACCCACCAGCACCACCAGTCACCACACCCACCAGCAGCACCACCAGTCACCACACCAGTCACCACACCCACCACCAGCACCAGTCACCACACCCACCAGCAGCACCAGTCACCACACCCACCAGCAGCACCAGTCACCACACCCACCAGCAGCACCAGTCACTACACCCACCAGCAGCACCAGTCACCACACCCACCAGCAGCACCAGTCACTACACCCACCACCAGCACCAGTCACCAGTCACCACACACCAGTCACACACCCACCAGCCAGCACCAGTCACCACACCCACCAGCAGCACCAGTCACTACACCCACCACCAGCACCAGTCACCACACCCACCAGCAGCACCAGTCACTACACCCACCACCAGCACCAGTCACCACACCCACCAGCAGCACCAGTCACTACACCCACCAGCAGCACCAGTCACTACACCCACCACCAGCACCAGTCACTACACCCACCACCAGCACCAGTCACCACACCCACCAGCAGCACCAGTCACCACACCCACCAGCAGCACCACCAGTCACCACACCCACCAGCACCACCACCAGTCACTACACCCACCACCACCAGCACCGGTCACCACACCCACCAGCAGCACCAGTCACCACACCCACCAGCAGCACCACCAGTCACCACACCCACCACCAGCACCAGTCACTACACCCACCAGCAGCACCAGTCACTACACCCACCACCAGCACCAGTCACTACACCCACCAGCAGCACCAGTCACTACACCCACCAGCAGCACCAGTCACCACACCCACCACCAGCACCAGTCACTACACCCACCACCAGCACCAGTCACCACACCCACCAGCAGCACCAGTCACTACACCCACCAGCAGCACCAGTCACCACACCCACCACCAGCACCAGTCACTACACCCACCACCAGCACCAGTCACCACACCCACCAGCAGTCACCACACCCACCAGCAGCACCAGTCACTACACCCACCACCAGCACCAGTCACTACACCCACCACCAGCACCAGTCACTACACCCACCACCAGCACCAGTCACTACACCCACCAGCAGCACCAGTCACTACACCCACCAGCAGCACCAGTCACTACACCCACCAGCAGCACCAGTCACTACACCCACCAGCAGCACCAGTCACCACACCCACCAGCAGCACCAGTCACCACACCCACCAGCAGCACCAGTCACCACACCCACCACCAGCAGCACCAGTCACCACAGCACCACCACCAGCACCACCAGTCACTACACTCACCAGCAGCACCGGTCACTACACCCACCACCAGCACCACCAGTCACTACACCCACCAGCAGCACCAGTTACTACACCCACTAGCAGCACCAGTCACTACACCCACCACCAGCAGCACCAGTCACCACACCCACCAGCAGCACCAGTCACTACACCCACCACCACCAGCACCAGTCACTACACCCACCAGCAGCACCAGTCACTACACCCACCAGCACCACCAGTCACTACACCCACCAGCAGCACCAGTCACTACACCCACCACCAGCACCAGTCACTACACCCACCACCAGCACCAGTCACTACACCCACCACCAGCACCACCAGTCACTACACCCACCACCAGCACCAGTCACTACACCCACCACCAGCACCAGTCACTACACCCACCACCAGCACCACCAGTCACTACACTCACCAGCTGCACCTGTCACTACACCCACCAGCAGCACCAGTCACTACACCCACCAGCAGCACCAGTCACTACACCCACCAGCAGCATCAGTCACTACACCCACCACCAGCACCAGTCACTACACCCACCAGCAGCACCAGTCACTACACCCACCACCAGCACCAGTCACTACACCCAGCAGCACCAGTCACTACACCCACCACCAGCAGTCACCACACCCACCACCAGCACCAGTCACCACACCCACCACCAGCACCAGTCACTACACCCACCACCAGCACCAGTCACCACACCCACCACCAGCACCAGTCACTACACCCACCACCAGCACCAGTCACTACACCCAGCAGCACCAGTCACTACACCCACCACCAGCACCAGTCACTACACCCACCAGCAGCACCAGTCACTACACCCAGCAGCACCAGTCACTACACCCACCACCAGCAGCACCAGTCACTACACCCACCACCAGCACCAGTCACTACACCCACCAGCAGCACCAGTCACTACACTCACCAGCAGCACCAGTCACTACACCCACCACCAGCAGCACCAGTCACCACATCCACCACCAGCACCAGTTACTACACCCACTAGCAGCACCAGTCACTACACCCACCACCAGCACCAGTCACTACACCCACCAGCAGCACCAGTCACTACACCCACCAGCAGCACCAGTCACTACACCCACCAGCAGCACCAGTCACCACACCCACCACCAGCACCAGTCACCACACCCACCACCAGCACCAGTCACCACACCCACCAGCAGCACCAGTCACCACACCCACCACCAGCACCAGTCACCACACCCACCAGCAGCACCAGTCACTACACCCACCACAGCACCAGTCACCACCAGTCACCAGTACACCAGTCACCACACCACCACAGCACCAGTCACCACACCCACCAGCAGCACCAGTCACCACACCCACCACCACCAGCACCAGTCACTACACCCACCAGCAGCAACTGTCACTACACCCACCAGCAGCACCAGTCACTACACCCACCACCAGACCCCAGCCTGTAACGTGTGTGTGTGTGTGACCCCAGCCTGTAACGTGTGTGTGTGTTACCCCAGCCTGTAACGTGTGTGTGTGTGTGTGTGACCCCAGCCTGTAACGTGTGTGTGCGTGTGACCACAGCCTGTAACGTGTGTGTGTGTGTGTGTGACCCCAGCCTGTAACGTGTGTGTGACCCCAGCCTGTAACGTGTGTGTGTGACCACAGCCTGTAACGTGTGTGTGTGTGTGTGACCCCAGCCTGTAACGTGTGTGCGTGTGACCCCAGCCTGTAACGTGTGTGTGTGTGTGACCCCAGCCTGTAACGTGTGTGTGTGTGTGTGTGTGTGTGACCCCAGCCTGTAACGTGTGTGTGTGTGTGACCCCAGCCTGTAATGTGTGTGTGTATGTGTGACCCCAGCGTGTAATGTGTGTGTGTGTGTGTACTCACCTATATGTACTCACCTATATGTGCTTGCAGGATCGAGCATTGACTCTTGGATCCCGCCTTTCTAGCTATCGGTTGTTTACAGCAATGACTCCTGTCCCATTTCCCTATCATACCTAGTTTTAAAAGTATGAATAGTATTTGCTTCCACAACCTGTTCCCCAAGTGCATTCCATTTTTCCACTACTCTCACGCTAAAAGAAAACTTCCTAACATCTCTGTGACTCATCTGAGTTTCCAGTTTCCACCCATGTCCTCTCGTTCTGTTATTATTACGTGTGAACATTTCATCTATTTCCACTTTATCAATTCCCCTGAGTATTTTATATGTCCCTATCATATCTCCTCTCTCCCTTCTTTTCTCTAGTGTCGTAAGGTTCAGTTCCTTCAGCCGCTCTTCATATCCCATCCCTCGTAGCTCTGGGACAAGCCTCGTCGCAAACCTCTGAACCTTCTCCAGTTTCTTTATGTGTTTCTTCAGGTGGGGGCTCCATGATGGCGCGGCATACTCTAAGACGGGTCTCACGTAGGCAGTGTATGTGTGTGTGTGTGTGTGTGTGTGTGTGTGTGTGTGTGTGTGTGTGTGTGTGTGTGTGTGTGTGTGTGTGTGTGTGTGTGTGTGTGTGTGTGTGTGTGTGTGTGTGTGTGTGTGTGTGTGTGTGTGTGTGTGTGTGTGTGTGTGTGTGTGTGTGTGTGTGTGTGTGTGTGTGTGTGTGTGTGTGACCCCAGCCTGTAACGTGTGTGTGTATGTGACCCCAGACTGTAACGTGTGTGTGTGTGTGACCCCAGCCTGTAACGTGTGTGTGTGACCCCAGCCTGTAACGTGTGTGTGTAACCCCAGCCTGTAACGTGTGTGTGTGTGTGACCCCAGCCTGTAACGTGTGTGTGTGTGTGACCCCAGCCTGTAACGTGTGTGTGTGTGTGACCCCAGCCTGTAACGTGTGTGTGTGTGTGTGTGACCCCAGCCTGTAACGTGTGTGTGTGACCCCAGCCTGTAATGAGTGTGTGTGTGACCCCAGCCTGTAACGTGTATGTGTGTGACCCCAGCCTGTAATGTGTGTGTGACCCCATCCTCTAACGTTCATCATATTTCCTTTCAGGCTCTCGAACGAGTAACCCTTTGATGTGATTTAGAGCAAATTCACTCACCAGCGAAGCATGTTCCGCCTTGTTGTCTGGTGTTGTTATATCAGTTAGTTCTTAAATGAGAACATTTTCTCTCCTTTTGAGCTGTTCTCCTAGTCTGTTCTTTACTTTGAATGTTAATGAACTACTTGGAAGGCAAGATCCATTATTTTGTTTTGTTTACATCACGTTGTTTTTGTTGACATTCTGGGTCCACGTGGTGCTGTTTACATCACATTGTTGTTGTTGACATTCTGGGTCCACGTGGTGCTGTTTACATCACATTGTTGTTGTTGACATTCTGGGTCCACGTGGCTTTGTTTACAACGCTTAGATTTTCGATTACAGATTAAGTGGTTCCTTGTCTTATTTGTTTTCATGGATATTGATGCGGTTCTTTGGAGTCTCTGGCTGGTCCCTGGAGTCTCTGGCTGGTCCCTGGAGTCTCTGGCTGGTCCCTGGAGTCTCTGGCTGGTCTCTGGAGTCTCTGGCTGGTCTCTGGAGTCTCTGGCTGGTCCCTGGAGTCTCTGGCTGGTCTCTGGAGTCTCTGGCTGGTCCCTGGAGTCTCTGGCTGGTCCCTGGAGTCTCTGGCTGGTCTCTGGAGACTCTGGCTGGTCTCTGGAGTCTCTGGCTGGTCCCTGGAGTCTCTGGCTGGTCCCTGGAGTCTCTGGCTGGTCCCTGGGGTCTCTGGCTGGTCCCTGGAGTCTCTGGCTGGTCCCTGGAGTCTCTGGCTGGTCCCTGGAGTCTCTGGCTGGTCCCTGGAGTCTCTGGCTGGTCCCTGGAGACTCTGGCTGGTCTCTGGAGTCTCTGGCTGGTCCCTGGAGTTTCTGGCTGGTCCCTGGAGTCTCTGGCTGGTCCCTGGGTCTCTGGCTGGTCCTGGAGTCTCTGGCTGGTCCCTGGGGTCTCTGGCTGGTCCCTGGGGTCTCTGGCTGGTCCCTGGAGTCTCTGGCTGGTCCCTGGAGTCTCTGGCTGGTCCCTGGAGTCTCTGGCTGGTCCTGGAATCTCTGGCTGGTCCCTGGAGACTCTGGCTGGTCTCTGGAGTCTCTGGCTGTTCCCTGGAGTTTCTGGCTGGTCCCTGGAGTCTCTGGCTGGTCCCTGGGTCTCTGGCTGGTCCCTGGAGTCTCTGGCTGGTCCCTGGGGTCTCTGGCTGGTCCCTGGAGTCTCTGGCTGGTCCCTGGATTCTCTAGCTGGTCCCTGAAGTCTCTGGCTGGTCCCTGGAGTCTCTCGCTGGTCCCTGGAGTCTCTGGCTGGTCCCTGAAGTCTCTGGCTGGTCCCTGGAGTCTCTGGCTGGTCCCTGGGTCTCTGGCTGGTCCCTGGAGTCTCTGGCTGGTCCCTGGAGTCTCTCGCTGGTCCCTGGAGTCTCAGGCTGGTCCCTGAGTCTCTGGCTGGTCCCTGAGTCTCTGGCTGGTCTCTGGAGTCTCTGGCTGGTCCCTGGGTCTCTGGTCGGTCCCTGGAGTCTCTGGCTGGTCTCTGACGTCTCTGGCTGGTCCCTGAGTCTCTGGCTGGTCCCTGAGTCTCTGGCTGGTCCCTGGAGTCTCTGGTTGGTCCCTGAGTCTCTGGCTGGTCCCTGGAGTCTCTGGCTGGTCCCTGGAGTCTCTGGCTGGTCCCTGGAGTCTCTGGCTGGTCCCTGGAGTCTCTGGCTGGTCCCTGACGTCTCAGAATGGTCCCTGATAAAGTTTAGTCTGACTCATTATTTTTTTGAGTTCTTTGTGTTGGTTACCAATTATTTTTTTTCCAATTTGGTATTTTTTTATCATTTCTTTTTCCATTTTCTATCATGTTCTCTATATCCTGTTTCATTATTCTTTCCTTGTTGCTTCCCTTGTTCTGAAATACGGAAGTTTTTTCTTCAATTTCAAATATTTTCCTCTCAAAATTTTCACTTAAAACTTCTATTTTAGTTCTTGCAGTCATCTTTCAGTCTCATTATCACCTGATTCCACCTTTTATCATACTGCTCTTTCTCGCTCTCTTTCTCTCTCTCTCTCTCTCTCTCTCTCTCTCTCTCTCTCTCTCTCTCTCTCTCTCTCTCTCTCTCTCTCTCTCTCTCTCTCTCTCTCTCTCTCTCTCTCTCTCTCTCTCTCTCTCTCTCTCTCTCTCTCTCTCTCCTTCCTGCTTTGTTCCATCGTGCTGACCACCTCTCTCCTCGGAATCAAAACATTGTTCTTGCTCTTGGTCCGTGATTTATCCTCCTCTTCATTCTCTATCATGCTGCATCTTTGGAATGTTTTCTTTCTCTCCTGTCGTGGCTTGGGGCAGATTTACGGGGTCCATATATGTCCAGATATCTGGCTGTGGGGGAGGGGAGGTAGAAGGGGTTAGAGAGAGAGAGTTGGAGGGACAGACATTTACAGGGAGAGATGGAGTTAGGATTCAGTGATTGGGGACAGACATATTTGAAGAGGACAAATTAGGGGAGAGGGGGGGCTTAGTTCAGGGGGGAGACTTTGTGTGTGTGTGTGTGGGTGGGTGTGTGTGGGTGGGTGGGTGTGTGTGTGTGTGGGTGTGTGTGTGTGTGTGTGTGTGTGTGTGTGTGTGTGTGTGTGTGTGTGTGTGTGTGTGTGTGTGTGTGTGTGTGTGTGTGTGTGTGTGTGTGTGTGTGGGTGTGTGTGTGGGTGTGTGTGTGTGTGTACTCACCTACATGTGACCTAGTTGCGTTTGCTGGGGTTGAGCTCTGGCTCTTTGGTCCCGCCTCTCAACCGTCAATGAACTGGTGTACAGATTAGTGTGTGTACGTGTGTGTATTCGTGAGTGTTCGTGTGTGCGTGTGTGTGTGCGTGTGTGTGTGTGTGTGTGTGGGTGTTTGCATACCCATCTAGCTGTACCCACCAAGATGTCCTTATAGTATGGAATTTGGTTCCAATCCTCGTCTTCCAAACAATTTTTGTTGAATTAAATGACAGTTTCCGTAATATATTTTTCATATTTACAATTAATATTTTGCACTGTGGGACAATCGACACACCTTACACATGTGTTATTGATCAACACATTCCACCCATGTTTATTAAAACACCGTATACTCTTTTAACTCTGGCTCCTATCATATATGTCGCTATCATGTCCCCAAACTCTTTTCTCCTTCACGATGTCGTGAGGTCCAGTTCCTTCCCTCAGGAACGATCTTTGTTGCATATCAAAGAGACTTTTCTTTATCCGAGTAAGGTCAGTAGTACTTCCGGTTGCACTTCTTTTTACCATGTCGTAGATCAGTCGATTAAGGTAGCGTCTGGGATGCTCTCGGACCCAGGTTCGAACCTACGTCACGGCCCTTGTGGATTTGTTCAGACTTCTCTTCATTCTGCATTATATATGAGGTGATATCATGACTCTTAATTCTGCATTATATATGAGGGGATATCATGACTATTCTGCATTATATATGAGGTGATATCATGACTCTTAATTCTGCATTATATGAGGTGATATCATGACTCTTCTGCATTATATATGAGGTGATATCATGACTCTTAATTCTGCATTATATATGAGGGGATATCATGACTATTCTGCATTATATATGAGGTGATATCATGACTCTTAATTCTGCATTATATGAGGTGATATCATGACTCTTCTGCATTATATATGAGGTGATATCATGACTCTTAATTCTCCATTATATATGAGGGGATATCATGACTATTCAGCATTATACATGAGGTGATATCATGACTATTCAGCATTATACATGAGGTGATATCATGACTCTACATTCTGCATTATATATAATAACTACAGTGTTATCATGACTATTTCTTTAATCAAAACTTTTAATTTATCCGGGTAATGTGGCAGTTCTGAGACTCTGCGGATACAATGTAGTTGAGTTTGCAAAGTGTTCCATCGCAATTTGGAAGTTGAAATCGTTACTATTGAATTTGAACAAACCGGAAAATTTTATTCTATATATGTTGCAAAGACAAACTAATCTATCCTAACCTTCTTAGGCCTAATACACGCTGGATGAGGCCTAATATAGTACATATATGTACTATACTAGCCCTAGGAATATTTAAGATTGATTATATAATCAATTTTCGAACTCAGTAATAGGAATAGTGCCAAATTCTACTATCTAGCTGCTCATTGCGTCGATATATGTATGATATCCACATATCTTGAGGTTATCTTGAAATGATTTCGGGGCTTAGCGTCCCCCGCGGCCCGGTCCTCGACCAGGCCTCTTTTTTTCTTACACAACTCCAGGAAGCAGCCCGTAGCAGCTGTCTAACTTGAGAATGGTCCAGGACGGACCGAAACGTCGTCGTCCCTTCACCTTCTAGTGTGTGGTCTGGTCAGCTGTCTAACTCCCAGGTACCTATTAACTGCTTAGTTTACTTCACATAGTTACAAAAACGTACTATCATAACAGGAGGATGGGTCGTGTCTTCCCATTCTGATCCACCTCATTACTTCAATATAATGAACAAACAATGACAAAAACATAATGATAATGAACAATGACACATAATAATGACACATAATGAACAAACACAATGAACAACTCCTCCCCCCCCTCACACTGTGCCTTTTCATGCGGTCTTAAAGGAATATTCTCTTGATCAACTCGCCCGAAGTTAGTCAAGAATCCGGAATCTTGAATCTTATACTATTATAAGAAACTTGAATCCTATACTCTTCCGGATTCACCAGCCTGTTGCTCTACGTAATAGTCGCTTGTGAAGAATGGTTTCTGGAAGCTTTCTGACGAAGAAAATACAATTTCTCTAATTCTTCTATTCCTGTTTGATTACTGTTATGTCGTAGATCTGTTATCTTGTCGTTGATCTGTTATTTTGTCGTAGATCTGTTATCTTGTCGTTGATCTGTTATTTTGTCGTAGATCTGTTATCTTGTCGTAGATCTGTTATCTGGTCGGAGATCTGTTATCTTGTCAGAGATCTGTTATCTTGTCGTAGATCTGTTATCTAATAGATCTGTTATCTTGTCGTAGATCTGTTATCTTGTCGTAGATCTGTTATCATGTCGGAGATCTGTTATCTTATCGTAGATCTGTTATCTTATAGATCTGTTATCTTATCGTAGATCTGTTATCTTGTCGGAGATCTGTTATCTTGTCGGAGATCTGTTATCTTGTCGTTGATCTGTTATCTTGTCGAAGAGCTGTTATCATGTCGTAGATCTCTTAGAAAGTTTGTGAAGCACGATTTTCCTGCGCTGATTCCATTTTGATTTTTAGAAATAGAACACAACTGCAGAAGTAATTCTTCTAGTATAATTTCCTATCCGTTTTCTCCCTAATATCTGATAAATTCCAGTTTTGTAGTTTAATGGTTCCCTTTCCCACTCCTTTCCCACATGCTGGCACCGCATTACCTTTCCTTCCTTCCCTTAGGACTCGTAGATCTTGCAGCAACGCTGGTACCAGCCTTAAAACTATCTTGAAACTTTTAATTAGTTTGTTGTACATTTCCTTATCATTCTCGGTGGGCTTTTTTTTTAGTGTAGCGTGATCGCTGTATCCTGCAACAACATCATCTTCTTCTTCCTCCTGATGTGGCTGTATGGTACTGAAGGCTACTGGTGCAGGCGATGAGTCACAATAACGTGGCTGAAGTATGTTGACCAGACCACACACTAGAAATTGAAGGGACGACGACGTTTCGGTCCGTCCTGGACCATTCTCAAGTCGATTGTGAGAATGATCACAATCATTCACAATCGACTTGAGAATGGTCCAGGACGGACCGAAACGTCGTCGTCCCTTCAATTTCTAGTGTGTGGTCTGGTCAACAAGGCTACTGGTACCTTCTTGAGGTTATCTTGAGATGATTTCGGGGCTTTTTTCTTTTTTAGTGTCCCCGCGGCCCGGTCTTCGACCAGGCCTCCACCCCCAGGAAGCAGCCCGTGACAGCTGACTAACACCCAGGTACCTATTTTACTGCTAGGTAACAGGAGCATAGGGTGAAAGAAATGTCGGAAAATCCGACACCATTTAATATCATACAGATAATAACTGTATTACCAACAAGTTACCCATAGAAAACGTAACTTGTAGTGGAATTACCGTCTAAAGAAAACGGGATATCATCACCACATACTATTATAATTCACCAGCTATTATGGTGGGAATTATTCTTAAATACATTAGTCTTTGGACTTTACCATCATAAAAACATCTTATATAAATTAACTTAATTATCAATATTAAAGTAGAGTAAATGTGACCCTTCTATCACTTTCTGAAATCTGGACAAAGTAGGCCAGGCGTCAGAGAGGAAGGAGGGCAGCCATTGTTGTGTCACCTCCGAGACGTGTGGAGCAAATTCGGCTCCTATCATTCTGGACAATGTCGGCCAGTAACGTCAATAGAATGGAGTGTTAAACAGCCATTGTTTATATTGAGACCAGAGGCTCACACGGGAGCAAATTCGGCTCCTGTTAATTTTACTTGGACGTAGTGTTATGGAAACCAAAGGTACCATCTCCAACACGATGTCTACAATTCAAGTTAAGTCTATCCGAAACCCGTTTATCATTCATTTATGGCCATTAATGTCAGGATATAGGGTGACCCGGTTAGATCGCGAAAGCCTCAAACTAAAGGTAATTAAGCCAGGTCTTCATGTTCCATGTACTGTTTTCTCTGATATACTTGTCATATATAGGTATTCTGGCTTCACAGCTAGCGCACTTTTGACAGGTCAAGACGAGGATGCAAGATTTGTGCACCAGTTACTGGGTGATATGGAAGCTACCTCAAAGAGGATAATTTGGTGTCTACACCCTAGTTATACCTGGTGGACTAACCTGCTGTACTATAAGATAAGGAACCTCATCAATGTATGTAGCTATTACTGTAGTTTGATTGGCTGCATATATATAATTTAATAAACCCCCCTAATGTGTAGAGGATCGATTTGTGAGATTAAGAGATTATTGCAGAAATA